AGTAATGTTGAAATTGCTCTCATTGTTGGAGATAATTATTATAAAATATGTAGAGAAGCAGCAGAAATCACAGACATTCTGATAAAACTGTACAACGGTAAGATATGTAATAAATAAATTCAAGATGCCTGGACGTGTCGACAATAAATTTAGAAGAAATTATAAGAGGTGGATTAGAAATGTATCGATAGTTGAAAAACCAAAAGATTCACATAAAAAAAGGATCAAATTTATTGAATGTGAATAAAAGTTACAGTTACAAGAATTTTAAAATCAAATACATTTTCTAACAGAGAAAGAAATGTTATACCTACTAAGAGGTATTTGGAAACAATTTAACAAAAAAAAAACACCACCGGACGTGGATGCAACTAGAACAATAAGACTTTTTTTATTAAATATCAAAAAAGACGAATTTTATATATTTTATTTTGAGACACAATGAGTTATCAGATTTATTCAGTGAAAATACTTTATTACAATTTTTTACATTTATGAAATTATCAATTCCACAATATCTAGAAATCATAACAGTTCTTACCATTATAAATAGTACAGATGCAAAAATATTCGCTACATTAAAATAGTGACGAAGCTTTATAAGCAAATTCTAGTTTAAAACTTATCTTGGACATAAAAGTAAAATAACAGGTGTTGATATTAAAATAATAATGCCATTTATATGAAATATCTCTATGGTAGGAAGAACGCAAATAGTTAAGAATCATTGCACAAAATACTTCAGTTGTTGGGGTTTCTAAAAAACCGCAGCACAACTTGAGATTAGTAAGGTATCTCCCTCTTTATTTAAACAAGTAACTTACATTTTAGTGGATTTTGATAGTGACGTCATTATTTGCATTAGCTGTACTGTTGGCAGCACTTATTTATTATTTTTTTAAAACTACGATGTGCAATGATTTTTATTTCGTGTGTTCCCTATAGTAAAATACCTTTAGAAATATACCTCTTATTTTAAGTATGTATTGTAAAAGCAATAAGCAGAAATACAGCTCGAAGACATAGGAGACGAAACAAAAAATCACAACCCAATAGAGGAATAATATTGATTAAGACGATTAAAAAACTAAAAGAGCACAAGTCGCTTGAGCAACTATATTGCTCCTGAGAATTAGACCACAATCAGATGAGATCTCCAAAAAAATAACATTCATTTGACTACAGATTGATGGAAAACTGAGCCAATTGGAAAAATGTTACATAGTGAGCGCTACACAATAAATATTGACCTACATTTTTTAAGATCTGTTCTCTGGCTACTAAGAAAATCCAATAGGCTAAAACCAAAGTATATTTAGCAAGGAAACATTAATTACCGATTACAGATTTCTTCTAAATTCATTGTAGCCTTCAATATCCCAGTCTTCTTCTTTGTGTAATAAGCTTATTAACATCGTCGTATTAACAAGCTGATGAAATTTTTCTCGGTCGGCAGCTAGATGAAACAGTTCCTTGACCGTTCGACGTATACATTGTTACGCAGCCAGGACATTTGTTTTCTTCCGACCCATCGTTTTCCTTCGATTTTGTCCTGAATGATCGCTAGGATTAAACGATATTTAAGTCCTCTGGACAAATCCGAATGTAAGTGTAAGTTCGACTTGTTTCTAATTCTCTTTGTCTGATTCTTCTAGATCTACGGTGATAAAATAAAATGTGGAAGTCGTGGAATAAAATATAGTTTTACTGGATGCTACTGAATTATTAGACTATAAATGTTGTTGCGGTAAAAATTTATAATAGACTGCGTCCCAAACTAGTCCCGAAGCTATATTTATAATCTCACTAAAATGCTACGATTCATTAAATAAGTGTATTGCCTTCTGCATAGAACAAAAACGTTTGATTTGAAAGCTGGCAAATATAATTTGAATCGAGGAAATAATTGCAGGTCTTTCCTCAATAAATATTAGGCAATCTATAGTTTGCAGGAAGTTGAACAAACTGTAATTAAGCTACTAATCGATATGTTTCACAATTATACACGGTGAAACTATACACATTCAGGAAATTAAGATTAATGTGAGATTACAAATTAATGGACTAACTTGTGATTGAACACCTCTCATTATATGACCGAAATATTGTACCTTTCTTATTTTGATGATGTTGATAAACTCTCGCTCTTTGTGCATGGTCTCTAGCACATGTTCGATAGATATGTGTGGTGTCCACGGGATTCTGAGCATGCGATGATAACAATACAACTACGCTTCTAATTTATTAAGATTTTTTATTTTTGTTCTCCACGTTTCACATCCGTAAAACAAAGTGGACCAGACGTAGCACTTCAATACTCTTAGTCGTGTGGTCAATGACAGACTTCTACTGCACAAAACAGAATGCCAGTTAATAAGTTTTTCGTGCAAGTTCTATTCTTGTCGAATTTTCTCGTCACTTTCAACCTTGCAGTCAATTCAACTACCTAGATATTTATCCCAGTAAACCTAATAAAATGATTAAAAGCGAGTCTTACAACAGACGAGCTTAAGGTTAGGATGCAGAAGAGCATTCCAAGATAGGATTAGGACAGCTTTTCATGCCACATGGTCATATCATCATTAATAAGAGTAGGTATACAAATAGTATACTAGGTACCGCAGTCTTTCGGAAACAATAAGCAATTCTTCGTAAAGATAATGAAGCCAACTTTATTTAGTAATGGGACTATTACTCACAACACAACGTACACAATGCACAATAAATCAATCACCAGTGGTGAGCCGGTGAGTTTTCATGAGGGAAGAGCACTTTTTTCTTGGCTGAATGCGGCCTCTTTTCTGCGATTCGCCGTAACAGAGCCATGTAAGTATTTTGTCCTTCTCCAGGCAGTCGATGTCACTTTTGGAGTTCCAGAGAACGGTGGCCACCACTTTTCGATCGATAGGACTGTCTTCGACTTTTTCGGAGCACGTTCGTGGATAAAATTCACTGTTTCAACCGTTACTTGGTCTCTAGTGTATACCAGTTGATCCATGATTCATGAACAGTCACTAATACACACCAAAATAGCATCAAACACTGATCTGAAGTGGTTTCACGGTTGCACTTGTTGGGAATGAGCAAACGCGGCACCCATCGCTCCGACAGCTTTCTTATGGCCACAATTTTATGCAGAATATGACCCACGCGGTCTTTTGAGATGCCTACTGCTTCAGCTAAGTCTCGAACATTTAATTGGAATATGAGATCGTGGATTTTGTCGCTCTTTGCTCCGCGGTAGCCGTTTTCCGGGCACCTAGCCTTGGTTCATTAAAAACTGACATGCGACCACGTTAAACTAATTTTTGACGGTCGCCATTGAAGAGACGCGCAATTTAATTTCTTGCGCGAAATTTAATTTCTTCCAAAAACAAGAATCGAATCTCCGACCGATATTGCTTGTTTACCATTTTTCTAAAACCCACGGCCGCTTCCACGCGCGGTCAAAACAAAACTACGAATGCGATTCGGCTGAAATTTTGCCATTAGCCGTCTTCGAAAATGTACTACGCGATAGTAATTTTCTCTTGCAATAGTAGCGCCATCCGGCGGTGAGGCTAAGTACTTATTGGAGCGCCCTTGTATATACAATCGTGAATAGTATATACAGAAAAATCTGATGATTGTAATCTAGGTTTTAGATCATATAGAACTTTTTGTAATAAATAACTTCTTGTCATAAAACTAAAAAATAATAAGTTTCTTAATTCTGTAACATTAAAGAGGCACAGTGCTTTAAAGTTTAAAGGTAGGCTCTAACTTTAGTTTGTCAAATATTAAATGAAAATTTCATTCGTCAAAACGTCATCCGAAATCACGCGTCGTAAGTAGTGAACTCGAGCCGAAAGCACGTGCCCATCATGAATTCAAGGAAACTTTTAATTCGATCATTGTCAAACGTAATCAAATCATGCTGTGAATATGGTTTTAGGTGGTCATTCGCAGGTTTTAACGTGTCTGGCATGAGTTTTTGCACTGGTGGGCTGTGGCATCAATTTGAACAATTCAGTGATGCCATTGAAAGGCATGGAGATTGTTAACGTGCAACTATGCCTCGACACGTGAAATAAGTTCGTTGAAATGGCGTACGTTAAAGATTCTAGTGTTCTAGATCTTATGGAAATCGTGGCTCAAAGTTAACGTAGACACAATTGGAGCTTACATGTTGTTATGTTTATTCACAGATAAAACTAGGTTATTCATATACCCTTATATGTTACAGACAGGGATTGTTGGTCTTCTGGAGAATGACCATGACAAGTTCTTCGAGATCTGTTTACACAAGACTGAAATAAATGCTGCTGGAAGAAGATACATTGTACAAACATTTTTACATTGTTTGTTATAAATATGTATTGAATTAGGAGACTTTTGAACGTTTGCTTAATTATTTGGTCAAAGGTAAAACACATTAGATGATTTATACAGAACCATATTAGATATTAAATCAATTGAGATGATTTTTAAATCTGCTATTGTCAAATGTGATTTTCTCTTGCGAAAATGTGCTTTCTTGTTTTTATACCAGTTTTATTAGGTAGTCAATTTAGGCTACAATAGTTCACGTTTTTAAAGAATACGTTGACGATTATTTAAATTTTTATATATTAGGTATCTAATATTAATTTACAAAAGTATTCTTGGATATTACTATTAATATAATTATTTATTGCGATTATTTTTATGTTGGTTAAGAGAACAAACAAAAACTGTATTCCGTATGTAAAAGTGATCTTGGGTTGAAAATTGAGAGTCATATCAGTAGTGTCTATCATACATACAGATTTTTAAGTGATTAACAATTCTAGACTTGTTAGAAGGATAAGAGATAGAATAAATGAAAGGAAGATCGCAGATAAGATTTAATAGCGATGATTGAAATGATGTCTTCTGAGGATTATGGGAAACATACTTGCAATAAAAGGTATCTAATCAACACTAACAACTTTATTTAAAAAACAGTGTTACATTTACTGACTTTTCTTTAAAAAAATGTACAGAATATTAATATTATATAATATAATATATATATATTAATTGTATATAAAATTATATTACATAATGTGCAAATGCAAGTATTTTAAATAGAATTCAATTATAAAATAAACCTACACATAACAAAATTTTGTAGACGTAAAAAACATACTATATTTATATTAATTTTTTTTTTAATTTGTTTTTTCTACATTCAAAAAACGAATGTAAATCCTATGTACAATATTTAAGACGCTAAAAATTTAAAGATCTTGGTTTTAAACCAGACGTTTTAAGAAATTTATGTGCTTGTTCAGTAAGCTCGAGCTGGTCTTTCGTTTGGCCGCAAGCTATCATGACCCAGAGATAATCCAACTGAAATAAAAAAAAAACAATTAATTATATTTCTTTCTTTATATTTAAATGCCTAATACTGTAAACACCTGACATGTGGTTCAGAAATCAATTAAGAATTTGGTACTGGAAACTTTAAAATCATTTTTTATAAATAAAATCAGATTTTTAAAATCAGTTTTGTTAAAATTGTACTAAAATAATTTTTACTTAGTACTAATAATCAAAAAACAAATAATTAGGGGTACGGAATTTTCGCCAATAAAAAACATGAATTTCGCATTTATTTTTTTTATAATTACAAAATTTCGCATTTATTTCGAATTTATTTTTAACTACGAGTAAAACAACAAAAAACATTAATTAAAAACCAAAATTGTTGTAATTTCGCCATTCGACTCTTTAAGAATAAATCATTCTTTGCCATTCAACATCTAATGAGGTCAAAGCTTCTCTCAAGGCGTGCCAAAATCCAAATGTACAAAACCATAATACGACCAGCAGTGACATATGGAAGTGAAACGTGGACATTGAGAAAGAAAGAAATCAATAAGCTATTAGTATGGGAACGCAAAATCCTGCGAATTATATATGGTCCTTGCAGGGACAGCGTGACAAATGAATGGAGGAGCAGATACAACAATGAAATAGAGACTCTCTTCGGGAAAGGAAACATCCTAAGATACATAAAAGCCAATAGATTAAGATGGGCAGGCCACATGGTACGGAGTGATGACGACAGACTGATTAGCAATGTGTTTTGGGAAATACCAGATGGTAAAAGATCGACAGGAAGGCCTAGAAAAAGGTGGAAAGACGCAGTCAGGGAAGACCTGGAGAAGATGGAAGTAAGGCCATGGGAAATAATAGCACATAATCGGAATCAATGGAAGGCAATAGTAAACGAGGCAAAAACTCACGAAGAGTTGTAAAAGCCAATGATGATGATGACTCTTTAAGGGCTGTTCTTCGATCTGTCACTACAATATTATATTTGCTGAAGAATCGTTCTGCGTCTACGCTGTTCGTTAGACCCCAGATGCTCTGTAATGCTGCTTTAGCAAATGACGGAAAACTGCACTGTGTAGCAAGCAAAATATCCTTCACATTCGGATCTTCGTTCCTTTGTATCGATTGAAGGATTAATCTATGAAAGTAAGTATATCCATCTATGTACTAAAATTGTGTTATTTTTCTAAAAAAAAAGGAATTTTAGAAAAGCTTTCTGAGAGTACACTCGGGTCACAGTAAAACTTGCAGCAAAGAAGCCTCGTTTGTGTCTTTTAAAGTTATATGGAGAGTTGTTTATTAACGGCTTTGTCGTTTGCTTTCATAAGCATTTTCTTCAGTGTAGCGTCAAGTTCTTCGTTTTCAGTGAGCAATCGAGATGTTTTTACATCAAAATAACCTTGGCGATGGTATTCAAGTGACAATTTTAAGTCCTCTAATTTGTTCCATAAAAGATGGGCGAATAGATAACTGACTCCTTCCAAATCGTCTATTAATTTCATTATCTATTAAGGTCATTTGAATTTCTAGTTTACGTCTGAAAGTTTCATCGGCGTAATTGTCTTTGAGAAATTTGATACTGGAATTTTCATTCCCCAACAAATCAAAAAATTGAGTATATGATTAAGATATTCAAGTAGATACGATACAGTGGAGAACCAAGAGTTCCATCTAGTTACAACTGATGCTGGATAAAGTTTTGCTGGAAGATTGAGCACGTTTTCTTTCAAATAATTCAAGTAAGAATTCTTCATTTTTCTTGAAAGACAAAAGGCTGACTTGACTTTTGCTGTAAATATGTTTAACTCCTTGAACTCTCCTACAAAAACATCACCAACAAGATTAACTTTATGAGCCCAACACTGATAATGTAAGATATGTGGCCCTATTAGAATTTTTAATAGGTTAAAGCAAGCAGACCTGTATCTTGCTGAATCTGATACCAGGTCTTCAACTTGTGAATAATCAATTCTAAAGTCTTTTAATGTATCTGTTCTTGTTCACTGCTGGACATATATCTTCCTCATAATTTTTCATCTGTTTCGATCTTGTGCCTCTTGCATCAAAGTCCTATTGCACCGTTTTAGTATAGACCAAAATTTTGGAGCACGACCTCTGCATCGGTAGCCATCAACTCTTGGTCTACATTCCAGTATCCGCTTTGTCCATCTGGTATCTGCCATTCGAGCTATTCCACTATTAATAGCACGTCTTTTTTTTTCGTATTTAGCCGCATGCTTTATTTAGGTTTTCATAGAATTCATCTTTTTCTATTGGATCGGATGTGTATCTTTCATTTTTAGTCTAAGGGTGTCGATCCTCCCGCATATCGGATTGAACTTCTTTATGCTGTTTGTTTTTTATTTATGTAAAACCCCACTCCATTCTTGCCTGGTTTGGCATTTCCACTGTACATAAATACGCATTCTTCTTTTTTTCTTAGATTGTCAGATTTTTCCTGTTTTTCCTATCTTACTTCACGTATGGCAGCGATGTCTATTATGATTTTTTTAACTCTCTTGCTACCTCTTCCATCTTTCCAGTCCTTAATACCTTCTTAATTTTCCATGGTGCTAAATTTTTTTTGCTTCCTTTGTATTTTTTCTTTTTTATTCCCTGATCTTTGAACGTTCTGTTAACTTAAGATCGAGCATATTTTCCTTAAAAATTGGAGCTTGTGAAATATGTGTAAGTGGGTGTGTCGTCATTACTTTTTTTAGATAATACTTAGTAAAAAATACATAGCTAAATTCCAATGTAAAAGTTTATATCAAATAACGCAAAAACTATGGCAGATATTGAGATGATTCTTTTTTTATATGGAAGGTGAAAGTTCTAGTGCACTATTCGGTTGTAAATTAATAAATTGTTTAAACAATTTTTTTTTCAAATATTTTTGGTTAAAATAAACGTAAAATTTTTTTTTTTTGAACACTTTGATTACTTTGATTTGAACTTTAAACACTTTGATTACTACAGAATTTGACCCACTTTCCGAATCTGTTTTTATTTTTAACCTAAAGTATAACACAAGGCAGATATTTGGTATAAACTTTTTTAAAAATCTCAAATTTTGGTAAATGTAATTCTCTCTCTCGGTCAGTACAGGCTGTCCTTTACGATAGTTTCTGGATTCTCGCCGACGCCGAGGTAAGAAGTATAATGCCCTTTCGAGGGTTTGTCATAAATAATGTTGAATATCATTATTAGGGTTTATTCCGACTTTTGACAAACCAGTGTGTTAATTGTTTTTAAAATGGGTAGTTCACGAAGACGTTTATGTTCCGATTGAGGAAATTTTTATAAAGAAGCAGTAAGTACCTGTAATTTGATTAAATTTTTAAATGAATAGAAATATTTTCTGTTGATTTATGACATTTTCCTTCTAAATGTTTATACTGTTTTTATAATAATACTTTTGTTTCAGCATTTGCATATATAATAATAATATAATAATAATTTATTATGTAGAACCAGCGTAGAATTTTGGTTAATCAGCCAGTACATTTTTTTGTATTTCAATCAGAATTATTATTTTCTTTTCTTCTTTACATAAAAGCTTAGAGTAATACTCAAATATTTTGCAGTATTTAAATATGGAATTTGATTATTTATATTTATTGGAATACTTATTTTGCACGTTTTTGTTTAGTAAAGTTTACATAATATATGAAGTTTGTTTCTTCACTTGCTTGTCCAGTCATATTAGTCCAGGGTAGTAAGGATTTTCTCATGACAATCAATAATCCAGGTAGCTGACAACTTTTTTAGTTATTGTAGACCTATTAGAAGAAAACCTAATTGTTTCGTGCCTAAAGTTCGGAGCCGTTTTTTAATGATTAACAATTTAATGCAAAAAACGTGATTCTTTCGATTTTTTGCACTCTATTAGAAAGCTAAATACTTGACATAAAATTACAAAATATCATTTTTTAGAATATTGACAAAGCTTCAAAATGCCGATATTTGTAAGTTAAAAAATCGATTTGTTGCTTTGCAAACTGCAAAATAAGTAACAATTGATATGTGTTAAAAACTTTTAATAAACTTAAACTTTAGAGTTCCACCCAAGGTTGGGTATTGGGGTACTTAACAAACCCTTAAAATTTGGTACCAATATATTAATTAGTTTAAAAGTTATTGTATTTGTTTATACCAGAGACCTTTTTTTTACAACATAATACAGAAAATAATAAAGATAGTGTAATGATGTGGGTAACATATGAAAGCAATAGACTTTACTTTAATAATCGCGATTACAAAAAAGTTTTCTCATTCTATTAAAAGTTGACCGTGCAATTCCAATGCGGCATCTTATTTCTGTTGTCTAATCAGTATCTTCTGTGATCCATGCTCCAAGGTATTTGTACGAAGATATTTGTTCAATTTCTGTATTATCTATTACTAGCTTAACTTTGATGCTTTGTGCTTTTGTAAATACCATGAACCTGGTTTTCTTCAAATTTATTTTTAGTCCAAAAAATGTACCTATAATATGATATAATCCCTATAAAACGTCTTCCGACGTCCATTTTTCATTTAATTCGGTTGTTCCGTTGTTCTTTAAGTTCTTTCGAGCTCATGAAGTTTCTTATCCCTTTCATCCGTGTTTTCTAAGGTAATCCTCTCTTCTGGATTCCTGTAGGTGTTCATACAGGTACTTGTTTCAGGAGTCTACTGTCTTTTATTCATTGGACCTGTCTGTACCATTTGAGCTGCTTTCGTTGTATGCCATCCATGACTGTACCTTCTATTCTCATACTTTATTGCATCCAGTTCGACGATATCTTTCTTCAATGTCTCTGTTAATCGTTATGTTTCACAACCGTATAAATAAAGCATGCTTTTTACCACAGTTTCATGGGTTGTAGTGCTAGAGAGCATGTCAGCTGTGCCAAAACGAAAAATAATCCTTTTGCTAATTGCTTCCACTGGAATAAGCTTGACCGTTCAACTGGGCCCTGGCTACCTCCTTCTAATTCTTTAAACTCCTGTTTTAAAATTAATTATAC